ATGATGAGGAGGATGAAGTATTGCTGTGCAGGGGAGGGCGGGGGGTCAGGCCCAGCGGGATGCGAGCGGCCGGGATGCTCTGCGTGTTGGGGGAGGGGGTAGGCAAGTCCCCCAGGGATTTGGGACCACGAGATTCACCACCGCCCAGGTCAGCCGGCATCACCCCCCCTTCAGCAGCCCCTAGAAATGTCGGGTGCTCCCGTGGATTTTGGAAGATAATGACCCAACAACAAGCCAACTCCTGCCCCAAAATATTTTGCTGATTCCCTGATTTACTTAGCGATGGGAAACCCCAGCCCAACCTGTGCAGAGCTCCTGTGTCACGGCCACGAGGAATTTGGGGCTGGACACGAGCCCAGCTGGGAGATGAACCCCCACCCCCGGCACACGGCGGGGCACGATTCGGGGTGCTCCCTGTGCCTATGGCGAGATGTGTCTCCTGTATCCCAACTCCGTGGGGGGTGTGTGTGGAGTTCCCATCCCATGCTCAGGGTTTGTCTGTCTCCCACACAGTGATGTGGGGCTTGGGGACACCAAGGGGGATGCAGAGGGTACCAAAAAAGCGGTGTTGGCACCCGCTCCCCTTCCTGTGGGGAAAGGAGGGTGACGAGGCCGGTGCACAGAGCTGGGGGAGGAGGGATGGACGGACGGTCCTGCAGGACCCAGCTCAGCGAAGCTGGGGCACGAGGCCCCCCCAGAGCCGCCCTCCGCTGCAGGGGGAGGTGACGGTTCGAGCTGGGCGCGTTACACGGTGCGTGTGCTGGAGCAGTGACGAAAGCAAGCGCTTAAGCGCATTAAAGCCCTTTGTTCCTCTCCTCATTCTTTCCATTTCCTCTGAAAACCACCAGCGCAACCATCCTGGAAAAGCAGGAAAGGGAACACAGCCCCAAGCCCATTTTCTTGGTCTTCCTCCAGCCCACATCTCCTGACACCTTCCCCAAGTGTTGTCTTCCCTCCGCTCTCTGGTGCCAAACTCCAAGTGAGGCCGAGTCGAGCTTAAACACAACCCACGGACACGGGTGAGGAGGTTTTCCCAAGCCCAGGCAGGCAGCCAGCCCCTTCCCGACACCTTCCGATGCATTAGTCCTGCCAGAGCACTGCCAAGGGCTAAGTTTTTCCCTAAATCCAAACTTTTCAGAGCAAATCATGGGGAGATGTAGGTCTGAAGAGCAGGGCCCCAGCACCTGAGTCTGGAGGGCAAGACTAAACTCCAGGAGAAGACCTGGATGCTCCTACGTGGTGGCCAGCACTGGTCATCACTGGAAGCAGGACAAGCGACTGGCGCCTGATCCTGCCTGGGTGCCAGTACGGGAGGAAGAGTAAATCCTTGAGGAGCGCAGCTGATAATGGAATGACGTTAAGCTGATTCCACCCTTCCTGCCAGTACCTGGGAATGAATCAGTGCAAAACCAGCCTCCCTGCACAGTCAAAAAGAAGGAACCCAGAAAGGAGCAGTTCCCTCTGTTCCCTTCTTTCTGTGAAATCCGTATCAGGAGCAGAGAAAAACGCTGGGAAGTATGCAGGAAGAGGAGGGAGCAGAGCTCACCCGCTGTTCTACGTCAGAGGCCAAGCGGAACAAGAGCCGATGGCGGGGGTCAGCCCCAGAGTCCCGGGGGGGGTTACAGCAGGGCGAGCGCGTGGGGAGCATCGTTACCACCACGGGAGCAGCAGGCACCGCGCGAGAGCGTCGGCTTCCCCAAGGGGCGATGGCAGTTTTGGAGGGGCCAATGAATGGCAGCGGGGTGAGGGGTGCCGGTGGCACCTCCGGGCTCCAGCCACGGTACCCAGCCGGGATGCCGCCTCTGCGGACCGTGACTGGAGCTCCTGGGGCCAGGACCAGCCTGGCCCTGGGGTTGGATCCCACCGGGCTGGGGTCTCCAGCAGCACACCAACACAGCAGTACCTCCCCCGCCTCTTTTTTGTTGTTAAAATGGCTGATTTCTGACTCCCCGAGGGCTTTGGGAACAATTCCTGATGGTTTGCTAATGATACCAGCAATCAGGCTCACGGGTGAGCAGGACCTGACGGGATTAGGCAGCATTAAGCAGCACGTGGCAAGGAAAGGGGGGGTTTGGATGCAGGGATCCTGCTGGAAAGGTGTGTTTTAACTCCCCAAAGCTTATTAATCCTCCCCGAGAGCCAAAGCCTGTGTAATCGCTCCATCTCTTCCTCCCCGACACGTTTTAGTCCTCCCATCCCTCAAGAGCCAACGGCTCCGGTGTTTGTGATCTGCGTTGCCATGGAAAAACTACGAAGGGTTTTTTTGGCGTATTTGAAATGTTGGGAACAAGCGTGAGGATGAGGAGGGCAGGTCCAGGTGGCCACCGAAGCCGGCAGCGCCAGGGGTGGCTTTGCTGCACACGTGGATGGGGTGGGAGAGAAGACCCCGGGGGAGCGAGATCCCATCAATAACGCTTTGTGCTTCCAAAAAAACCAGACCCAGCCAAGCCAGGCTCGCCTCTGACGGCACTATTACTGCCCATTATTTAAAATCTCCCCTGATTAAACTATTAGTGCCAACGGAGGGGTGCAATTTGCATACGATTAGCGCCTCTGCTCAGCGCGGAGCCTGTGGGCTTCTCCCTCCCCCACTGACACTGAGAGAGCGAGCGACAGGATGAGGAGCGACCTGGATTTCTGCTGAATTAAACCAAATTCAGTATTTCCTTGTGCCCGGGGGCTGGGAAGAGCTCAAGGCAAGGCTGGAAAATGTCCCACTGGGGAGGAGATTTCAGGTTCTGCTCCAGGCAGGAATTGGGAAAGCTTCTACCCCAAGGCAGCTCCTACCCCACACATGCTGATGCCCAAGCTGAGCTGGTTTTGGCCAGCCAACCCCAAGGGTTTGGAGGACCTGGAGGTCCAAGGAGGACCCGCCGTTCTCCCTGGGCAGCCTGCTGCCACAGGGACCCAACAGGCACCCAGCTGAGCTCCCTCCTGCAGTCTGCAGCTGCTCCTCGCAGCCCTGAGAGGACAGCCCAGTCACCACCAGCAAGGCTGGACCCATGGCTGCAGCTCCCGGAACACGCAGGCATCCCGGCATCCCCTCAACCACCAGCCTCGCCCCCCCAAACCCCGCTGGCACCCGCTCCCTCCTGGCCAGGCACAGCCGAGTGGGGTTGTACGAGGCCCCTGCACTAACAAGCAGCTTTTTGACATCCGGATGTGAACGGTCTGTTGGACTAATGAATGGGGACTTCCAGGGCTGCCCAGCGGCTGGAGCAGCCGCGCAGGATCCCGAAGCCTGGCTCCGAGCCCCCTGCCTGTCCAAGTGGCATGAAAAGCAGGGATCAAACCGAGCCATCCCGTGCTTTTCTGCAATTCCTCCTCAAATATAAGCAGCTATCCAAAGGGGAATAGCAGAAAGGCCATCTCCTGGCCAAAGGTTCGGATTTGGCCATCGGCCACACCAGAACCATCACGCTTTATGCCCCAGCACACTGGTATCCATCTGGCCTGTGGGATACCCATCACCCAGCCATTCCGGGGGGTCCTTGCAGGCTTCCCCCATAAGAACTAGGGCAAACCCAACCACTTTTCACCATTCATGATTTTACGCGTCTCTGAAATTCCCTGTTGACCTCCCAGGCCAGGCGGCGGTGGCCTTACTGCTCCCCGGCAGGAGCCGCTCCATGCCGCTGGGGGGGCTGGGGCGCGCCGCACCCATCCTCTCCGAGACACGGAGACCCACCTTTAAGAAGGTGCTCAAGACATCTGTATAAATCCAAGGGACGCCCACCTCATGGCATCTCCCACCCTCGTCTCAGTTCTCTCCCCGCTAATTTCGGATTTCCCACAACTGCAGTTTTGTTGACTCTCATCAAGTTTTTGAGTTATTTTTTTCTTCCTAAGAAGCCTCTGCAATGACTCTCCGTTCCCCGCCTGGAATGACAACAGCCAGCTGACATCCCTCAGCTGCAGGGACCCCAGGGATGGTCTAGGTGGGAAGACCTGGCGCCTCCCTTCCCACAGCGAAGGGAAAGCCAGGAAATCGAGCATTAGGCTTCACCTTCCCCTGCCCAAAGCCAGCGGGATGCGCCATGGCATCGTGGGATCTTACGGACTTACGGATGCAGCCTCTTGCTGGGTGGCCTGAGCCGCGAAGCGGGCCACGTGGTTGATGATGGGGGAGAAGTTGGTGGGTCCGTAGAAGCGGATGTGGGGCAGGCAGGCCGAGTACGCTTGGACAATGCCCTCCACACCTTCAGGGAAAGCAGAGAAGGCAGGCGTTACCACGCGCCGCAGCTCAGGCCCACCGCAGCGCCAGTTAAGCATTATTAGCTCATCTGTCACGGGAGCTGAAGTTAGGCCTATTTTCCCCACCCCTCAAACATCCAGCTCCGCAAGTTTCACCCACCTCAACTCCAATTTTTTTTAATACTTTGCTCTTTAGCCATTTTGGAGTGGGTGCTCAGACCTTCTGGGGGAAGGGAGCCCTCGTAGCACCCACAGCCAAACCGTCCTTGGCTTTCTGCAAACATCTCAGAATCAGCCAAAGGGGAGGAGCAAAAAGGAAAGTGACTCCCGGTCTCTGAGCGTAACCCAAAGACAGACATGGAGCAGAGGGAGCGGAGAGAAGCAAAACAACCCCAGAAGCACCCTCTGAGCTCCCAGACTGTGTTTGGGATCCCCAGGACGTCAGAGCCCCTTCAGCCATACCAGAACAGGGTAACTGGCTGCTCTTCCCAAAGGATGCATGGGGGTGTAATTAAAAAAAAATGACCAATTCCACAATTAATCAGCTGATAATCGGTTCTTTGGGAAGGACCTGTCACTGATAGGAGTTGCAGGGCGGTGGCTGCTGCACCCCATAACGCCTGCAACAAACGGGGTGCAACGAATGCCTTACAGCCACCCGAGAGAGCGCGACCAAAGCGAGGGCAGCAGCAAAGCTGATGCCCACAGCCAGCCCCCATGAGCCAGCCAGCGAGGTGCGGAGGTTGCTGGTGTTCAGCAGAGTCAAACCAGACGACTTTTGGCGTCCACGGTAGCCCTCAGCACTTAGAGCTGAGCAGTTCTTCAGCCATGCCTGCGAGCAGCTCTTTGCTGCTAAACAAAGCACGAAGCCTGCATTCCCCATCTGCTGAACAGGCCTGGCGTCCCTTGCAGCCTTGCTGGGGGAGCAGACGGCTGGTAGGACACACCAGACGTCAGAGCCAAGGCGGATTTTGCACTGTCTGAATCCAGCTGCATTTTACCCTGGGCCTTCCTACACCCCCTCAGATTTTCTCTGCTTTCCCTTAGCACGTGCTCTGCTTCACCGCCAATGCCCGTCTCTTAACAGGCCTTGAAAAATCCCTGAGATGCTACTGGAGAAACATAGAGGGAAGGACAGAAGACACTGAAGGCATCCAAGGAGCCTGAAAGACCTGGGAGATGCTCACCTGAACAGAACGGGTTCGTGGGATTGAAGTTAATGGCAAACTCATGGGATACCTGTGGAGAAGAGAAGACCCAAATTAACCAGAGCAGGTCACTCACTGTCGGTTTAGCTGATGCTGCAAGGCCGGCTTGGGTCTGATGCTCCCCTGGGGCATGAGGCGGTGGTCACAGACATGATGGGTCAGCAACACATCCCAGCCCTCTGCTACCCAAACAGCAAGGAGAAGCAAATAGAGACGCAGTCAGGGCCGAGCAGCACTTGAGGATGGGCTGGTTCCTCAACCCTTCCCCATCACGGAGCCACCTGAAATGGTTTGTCCACATGTCCTCCCTCAGGCTGCCCAGAGGGAGAGCACGCAGAAGGGATGCTCTCAGCCAGCTGGGCCATCTGGCTGGTCACTAGGAGACACTACTTCATCCTGCTGCAGGTTGTACGAGGAGAAAACTCAATTAACAGCACAGGGAGCCCCCAGTTGTGGCAGCATTCCGGTTCCCCATCGCTCCGCGAGTGGCATGGTGCAGCAGAAGGGAGGCAGGCACAGAGTGAGCTGGGCTGAAGGCCCGATGTGGCACATCAGCCACCACGGTAAAGCCAGCGGAGGGTTAGCTTCGTTGTCTGGGTCATCACGATGGCGAAAGGCAGCACGGGAGAGGTGACAATGCTTGGGGGTGATGGACAGCAAGTCCCAGCACAACCCGAGCTGGTTTTCATTGACCATGAAACCATCCTTCCTCCAAGGCAGGTGCAAGGTCCCGCAGGTTTTCCACCATCTCCTTTCAAGCCGAGGGAGAGGCCCTCACAGGGACATTCTGCAGGACACTGGCAACAGCAGACAGCCTGCACCCCCCGTCCCTGGCTCGTGGCACTCGCCCAGCCAGAGGAACCAAACAGCAGTGCTGGCTGCGAATCACAAAACCTTCCTCCTCTACTCCACGGGGACCCCAAAACATTGGGCGATGGTCGCTTTGAACCCATCTCTGCCAGCTCCTTGCCTCCAGCACGGACCCTGCCAGCGCTGGTGGGTCACGGCGTGCTTGGGGAGCAGCCGCCAGACGCGGGGGCTCAGGCGCTCCTTGCCCCGCTACCCACAAGTAGGAAGCAAACAGACTCTCAGGAGCATCAAGGACCCACGACCGCCTCCTCCAGCCCCTCGGGAGGTTGAAGGGGGCGATTTGGGCTCTCAGGCCACACAAAGCTCCCACTCAGTTCGTGCCAGAGTTACAAAACAAGGCTGTTTTCTCCCTCTCGGAAGGGTGGTGGTTTGCCGAGCTCCTCAGGCCGGGGATCCCTTCGGGACATGCGTGTTCGTAACGCTGGCAGAACGACTGTCCTCCGAAGCGCCGTCTGAAGCTGGAGTCCTTCTGAGACTGCAAGAGCATCTGATTCAGACTTTCCAATTACACTGGGCATTGTGTCGAAAGCGGCAGAAACTATTTTTGCAAGAGGCTGTGGGGTGGGAAACAGCAACCCAACAAAAGTAGGTCAACCAGAAGCCCTCCCCGTGCTGCAGAGCTGACGAGCTGTCGGACCGGCGAACGTCAACAGCCTGCCCGGGTCTCTCCATGCCTGTTGAGCACAACCCCTAACGCTCCCGGCAACCAGCAACCTCGCGGCTGGAGACGCAGTCTGCAACGTGTGACTTGGCTTTGCGCACACCCTTTCTCGTAGAAACCTCGATTTCGGGCAATATATTCAAATGTCTTGATTTTCAGTTGTAAAGGGCTCACTTTTTTTTTATAGAAGACATTCAAAATTCTGCCATAGGAGTATTTATAGACTAGGCAAGCAAAAATATTTCCATGTTTTGCACTGCAAAAGAGGGGGTTTTCTTTCTTTTAAGCAGCAACAAAATGGTCTGGAGCTCTGTTTCTCACCATCTACAGAGCAGACCCCCTGCATGGCAGAAGTGTTGCAAAACCTCCTCTGGAGTTTTTAATGGATTATATATAGATCTCTGCTAGAAAATTCAACAGGAGGGCTTCAAAATAACATAAAAATGGATCTCATTTCCTGTACAGCTCGTACTTTGAAAAACAGGTTTTGTGGAGTCCAATTAAATGTATATGGGGCACCTACAGTTACCGCATTACCAGGAACCTACAGAGAAAAACCTTTTCCAAACACCCCAAAGGGTGAGACGTTCATCTGCAGCCAGGCTGTGGCCTCTTCCAGTCCTGGATGGGGACGGCTGCAGCTCCATCTTTTCCCATCACGAATTACAGATGTGCCTCACAGACGCACAGCTGGAGCCTGTGCCGGAGAACCAACCCCGCAGAGGATTCTCTGGCACCTCCTCCAACGATGCCCCCCCTGCCGTGACTCAGTTTCCCTATCTATGAAAACAAAAAGGCAAACGGAGGGCAGGCCTTGGGGCATGTCCCAAGGTGTCCCTGCCCATGGCAAGGGGTTGGACTAGGTAGGCTTTAAAGGTCCCCTCCACCCCAAACCATTCCGTGATCCTATGATTCCATTTCCCAAACCCAGGGTGACTGTTGGTGGTCCGATGTTAAGCGTCACCCTCTCCACTGTCGCCTTGCCTATGCTCATCCCCCAGAAACCACAACCCATCTGCTTCCCTCTCCTGTTCCCTACTGGGAAACCGCTCGAGGCTCTGAACAGAGCTGTTACATGGCAAGATGTTCTTTGACATTTCCAACGAGACTTTTGTGTGCAAAACATCTCGCTCCGACGGGCGCCTGGGAAGCGTTGGGGGAGCCATGGCAACGGGAGCACAAAGCGCCGTTCATATGACTCTTCTCTCTTTAACGATCTTCCCCATTTTCACTCCGGTCTGTGGGTACAACAGCCGCCCCTCCTCGTGTCCCCCGGGGGGTACCATCGGCCACGCTGATCCCCACCGCCTGTCCACCGTAACGCCAGACTGCTCCTTTGGCTTTGAAACCACCCAACGAGCCTTGAGGGCCTGTGACGAGTGAGCCGAGCTGGTGATGCGCAGACCCTGCGGATGGGGCGAGCCGGGGGGGGGACGAAGCCCCAGGCTACAGCGGTGTGGGGCAGGGGACAGGGGATGCCCCCACTGCTACCGTGAGACAACCAATGGGTCACTCCGGGCGTTAGGGCTGGTGACCTTCAGCACGGGCCAAGCACCTGGGAAGGGAGAGCTGCTCTCCACTGGGTTTTATGTGGGCTTCGGCATCATTCTGGGGGAAGATGAGGTGTTTTTTCTGGTAGCGCTTACGGAGCATTCCCAGGTCTGTGGGAGCAGCGGGACAGGCTGCGGGAGTCAGTGGGGACAGAGCAGCAGCAGCCCTCCATCCCACAGCTCCTAGCCAGCATTCTCCACCCGGTACTCGCCTCCAGCCATGCAGGAAGGGCCGTTTCCATCCCAGCGATGCCTCTCCCACGGGCGCTGACCCGCACACATCAGCAGCATAGCAGGATGCTCGCCGTGACGATTCACCCATTCCCTCAGCAATTCAAGCCACTGTACCCTTTCCATCCCCGCTGCGTTCTCCATTCCCATTCCTCTCCGCCAGGAATAAATCCCTGATGGAAGCTGGCTCTTAATCCTTGGAAGATGCCTACCAAGATTTTCCCACCGAAAGTGGTGAAGTGACAGACCAGAGACATTTGCCGGCCAAGGAGAATGAATCAGCTCCAAAGTGCACATGGAGGGATCTCCTCCTGTGGCTGGCAAACAGGGAGAGCTCCCACTTGAGTCACATGGATTTTGGCTGCCAGGAGAGCGGAGAAAAGCGCAAAGCTGGATCGGGCAGGACATCCCCATCCTCGAGGACTGGCAGCTATGAGCTTCCCAGCCCGATTCACGGCCGCTCGTGACGTACGTGCCCTGCTGAGCTCAGCCCGGAGCAACGCTCCCCTCCAAAAGAAGATAAAAGGCTCACTGAGGTTCAACCCCAGCCCGAAGCCGGGGACTTCTCAAAGCCAGCGAACAGAAAGAAAATGCACGCTAAGGGTGTGAGCAAAGAGCAGCCAACAGGCCTGGCCAGTAACGAAGGGTGGTGGTGTCCCGGCACATCTTCCCAGCCATGAGAATATCAGCCAGGACGGGCTGCAGGAGCAGCCCCAACCCCTGCCCATGGCACCCCTCCTGATGAGCAGGGCGCTCCAGCCCTCACCCTTGCAGGACCAGGGTGCTTTTAACCCCTTCAGTGCCTAATCCCAACAAAAGATGAAGGTAGCTTTAGGGAAAGCCCCTCTGCCCCAGTCCTTGCAGGCTCTGTCCCTGCAACATCACATCGAGGCTACCCAGCTCCCAGCCCCCTTCCAGACCTTGCTGCCATCTGACACATTCATCCAGGGACCTTTTCTTTTGCCCAGAATTGGTCCTGCCTCCTGCCAGGAAAATTAATCAATGCCTGGCTCTGTCCGTTAATGCCAGGGAGCTGCTGCTTTCCTGCCAGCCTAGAAGGGAGGAGTGGGCTGCCTGCACCCCATCCTCACCTCGCCGCCCATCCATGCTGCCACCACTCACTCTCCACTGGCTGAAATCCACATCTGCCTGTCCCCCCCTCTACTCAACAGCTTTTCCCAGCCCCAGCCAGCCGGGAAGCCCCAGCAGCTCTGCTCCTGCCCTGGCAATGTCAGGACAAACCCATCCCAAACACGCAGATGGCCACAACACTTCACCTTCCAGTCCGGCGGGAGTTGGGCGCCGAATCCCAGAGCAGGAAACATCTTGTCTCTAAAAGAGAAGAAGAAAACCGTATGGCTGTATTTACACACACAACGCAGGCTTGTGCGGCTCTTGCTGTGGCGTCCCTGTGCTACCAGCTGCCCAATGCCCAGCCACAATGAAAGCACCAGCTAAAAAGGCTGCCAGCCCTCCCTTCTCCCCAAACAACGCAGCACATTTAAAAATCACGAGAGCTGAACAGAGAGAGCGGATGTTCCCCTTTTGCTTTTGATCTTAGAGAGACAAGAGTCCAGCTTTTCTTCATCACCCGCAGGGATCAGGAGCATCCTCTCACCCAAACACCCAAGTATCTTGCAGCCGTGTAACCCTGGAGATTTTAACAAAAATTAACTATCCATTTTGGTCACAAAAGTCAGCATGGCGAGACCAACAGACTTCTATTCTGTTTATCGAGGTCCAAGGTGTTATTTTTCCGAGCTGCACACCTGGGGGCAATGGGGAACAAGGCAGCCTGGCAGTGCAGCTGCCGACAGGGAATACCAGCAAGCTGAGGGCATCTGCCTCCGCACCGAGAAAGCACCAAGGGCTGCTCTCCAGCTGCCCCCAGTGAAGGATGCTCCACCTCTCCTAATGCACCCTTCTTCTCAACAGCGGTGATGGAGGGAGAGGAGAAACCCTGTCCTTACCCTCTCCTTCCTGCATCCCAACATATATGGCAATTTTCTCCCAAGGAGCTTTTCAAAAGCAAGGTATTATTTATCCCTGGCTTTGCAGGTGGGACATGAAGGCACAGGCACCCCAGCCACCCCTCGGGAAGCCAGGGAGATATCAGTCAAGCAGGGGTGGAGGCAGAAGGGCATGGTGCTTACGAGTCGTAGTCCTGGATGATCTGGCCGACAGCCCAGATAGCCGACAAGTACTCGTTTGTCCCCATGGGGTTGATATAGTGCAAGGAGGAGGGGTCTCGCGGGTTCCCGTTGGAGGCTGTGAAGTCAATCCCAACCTGAGGAGGACAAGAGAGGAGCACAGAGCCATCCTCTGTTAGCAGACACCACTACAGACCCGGCCTCCGTTGCCTTTGAGGTCCACACACAGTCCCAGCAAGACCCAAACCTCAAACTTTTGAAAAGGTTTAACAAATCCCAGCTCTTCACCTTCCCTAAAAAAAGCTGACTAAATACTAAGCTGGGCAAAGCCATTCACAGCTACACCTGCATTTTTCACCAAACATCACATAGCGTGTCCCAAAGCAGCCTCTGCTCCTGGAGCAAGCCACCACCATCTCCAGCTCAGGACTCTCACTGCCCGTCTCCCAGGAGTTAAGCTCAGGAAATGAGTAGCCCCTTGGCTACCAAAGTGGCCAGGGCCACCTGGGCATTTGGATCTCAAGGTCTTTGATCAGAGTCACAACCCTGAGCAGACCTTTCCCTGCAGCCGCTCTTTGCCGGGCTTCACTGCGGACCAGCATGTGCTGAGCTCTCAGGGGATTTTGTCAGCCAGGCACTCATTTTCTCCCTTCTCAATTAGGTTTTCTATTTAAAGACATTTGTAGAAATGCCTATCTCAGACCCAGTTAAATCCGGTCAGAAGAGGCGAGATGCTGAGCCACCCAATTTGAAAAGACTGGGAGGGAAGAGTTGGGAAGAGGCGAGCGGGCGGCATGTCTGCGCGCGCCTTGTTTGCTCAGCAAATGGGCAAAACCCAAAATAACTCCGCCAGCTAAATTTTGCTCAGGGAAATCGCGAGGGATTTTGCTCCACATCCGTAACGGGAGAGAATGAACCTGGACTTGGCTGAGAAGAGACCTTGGCCTGGCTGGGGCAGGAAGGTGTCACAGGCTGGGACTGTGCCTGGGTGGCTGGGAAAACAAGCTTGACAGGACCAGGGGATGTGGGTTTAAACTGGAAGAGGGTGGGGTTAGATTGGAGATAAGGGAGAAAAGTTCTACAGTGAGGGTGGGGAGCACTGGGACAGGTTGCCCAGAGAAGCTGTGGATGCCCCATCCCTGGAAGTGTTCAAGGCCAGGCTGGATGAGGCTTGGAGCAACCTGGTCTAGTGGAAGGTGTCCCTGCCCATGGCAGGGGGGTTGGAACTGGATGGTCTTTAAGGTCCCTTCCAACCCAAACCATTCTGTGATGCTATGAAAACCCAATTTATTCCTCAAGCAACCCTACAGCCCTACCAACCTCTGATCACTGGTGTAACACCCACCCCCACATGCCCAGCTCCTGCCGAGCCACCATGGGCACGGTCCAAGGGGGAAACTGAGGCACGGAGAGGAGGCTCAGTGGAGTCGGACAGGCACGTGCAAACAATGCCACCAAGAGCAGCACTCGGGCAACAGATTTGCCAGGGATGCCTCTGGCCTGCCTCAGCACGAGTCAAACAGCTGGGCACGATGCCCCCCTCCTCTGCGGCTTCAGCTTCCTCTCCCCACCGTCTCCCTCGCTGGGGAGGGCACCAGCTGCCTTTCCAAATTGCAGGGGTGCGTGCGCAGCATCCTCCTCCCAGCTCAGGCGTTTCTGCAGCGTTGCACCCACCGCAAACCCACCCAGGTCTTGGACCAAAGATACCTCAGGACGGGGAGCAACCCTCTCCTAACTGGTGCATCTCTGGATGGGGGAAGATGTCTGCATTCAGGCCTAATTCACACAAGAGCTCCGTGCCACCAGTAAACTTAATGGTTTTCTCCACTATTCACTCTCCAGCACCAAGACCTCAGCACGCAGCGGCAGATCGGCACACAAAAAGCTCTCCCAATCACTCCTGTTCCTATGGCAACTCTTCCTCCTCCTCCTACTCTCCCCCCATCATGTTTTCAGACGAAACAACAAAATACAAACTGAAATACTGTGAGTGCCCGCAGCTCTCCAGATACTGTACCAGGGAAGTTTGCAGAAATTAACCCCCGCACACACACTTCTGCATCGTGGGGGCTTCACTCGGGGCTGTAACGCCTGCCTTTAGCTACCCTTGACAAGCCGTAGCCCAGCTCGAAAGAAGGTGGAAAGGGCAGTGAAAATGCAGAAAACCATCTCATTAACAGCCCAGAGCCTCTTAGGTGGCTTCAAAACGAGGAGAGCTTCCATAAAAACCTGGAGGGTGGTTAAACGCTGCAACGGGGAGAGAAGGCAGTAACATTTTGTGAAGGGTCAGGAGGTCTTTGTGGCGTCTGATCTCCAAAGTCTAACCAGCTCCCTCTGTGCTGCTGGACGTGCCTGAGCATGACACCCCAAAGCCCCAAACCCACATGATTTAACAGCAAAACAGGGCAGCTCCTCGTTGCCATGAAAAGCCACTCAAGCTGGTGTCAAATGTCACACAGAACCTCCCTCCCCGGTTCTGATCGTTACATACACGTTACTATCAAAAGTCCTTACGGTAAACATCAGCTGGCAGCCTCCCAGGATGTAGTCCAGGAAGGAGAAATCTCTGGTAATCTGAAAGAAAAAAATACAGTGTTTCGGCAATTTTCACCATTGCAGAGGAACAGCAGTAAAATACACCTCCGAGGACCTTCGGCCACACAGCAAAGCAAAGGGGAAGAACTGCTTGGGTCTCCCACAGCGGCGTTTTGGCATTCCACGAGACACGTGGGGCCAAGCAGGGCCATGTGTTGGTCCAAAGCTGGCGCAGGAGGTGTGCACAGGGATTGCTGAGGTCCTTGAGAGATCCTTGAGATCGTCTCCCACAGCCAAAACGCTCTCACCCCAGGTGCAGATCTGGGGCGGCAGGAGTTGTGTCGGCGCATAGCCCGCTGTGCTGGTGCCATGCGGCAGGAGGACTTCACCAGCACCCCCAGCTCAGAAGAAGGACCTCTCCCACCCAAGCCCCAACCCTTGCCCGCAGGGAGACACCAAACAGCTGGTAGGCACCCACATGCTGAACACCACCTCCTCCTGGGTCTGCGGCCACCTGGACACGGGGTGGCTTCAGCAACTCGGTACAGCAGATGCTCCGAGTAGAGAGAAACCCAAGCAGAAAGGAAATCCCACTTTTATTCATGTTATGCAGGTCCTGCGCTTGGAAATGCAAGGGTGCTGGAGGCAGAAGGGACGGGGGAGCTCGGTAAGACCCAAGCTGGGCCAGGAGCAGAAGGAAACATCCCGGTGTCGTACTCACTTTGCAGGACTTGACAATGATGATCCCGGAGTTCTTGTAGTTCTTTTTCTTCTTCTGCTTTTTGGGGTTAATGCATTCTAGCTCGAGCTGCAACACACGAGGGACAGACACGGGTGTGAGAGCGGTGCTGGGCTCTGCCAGGGGGCTGCAGATGCCACCAGCGGCTGCATCCTGTGGGAACCCTCCCTCCACATGTTTCAAAGAGACATAAATGAATCCCAGCGGCTACTGCTATTGGATGATGGAAGTGGAGGCACAGGACCTGCTTGGGAAGGGGCTGTTTTTCCCTTCCAGGGCCTTTCGCCATGCCCAGGACCTGGAGCATGGCAGCTGAGACACCCCAGTGAGGCTACCATGGTCTATGGGATCGGACAGAAATGAATGGGATGGGACAGGTCAAACACACAAATAGTTGGGGCAGGCACCACCTTTCCTCAAAATTCTTGGAAAAGAAAATTACTTTTGAATATTCAGAAAATTGCTGCAATATTTTTTTTAGATTTTTAATCTAAAACTCTTGTCCAAGAATAAAGTTTACATGAGGGTTGATCTGAGGGAGAGGGCAGGACTGGGCATGGGGAGCACAGAGAGAAAGTCATGTCCATTCTCCCCCAGGCATGCAGCAAGGAGTCTTACTCTCTTCTCACCAGCATCAGTCAGGGTCTGATGGAGAGAAGATTTTATTGCTAGGCCGTGGGTTGCAAATCCAGTTGAAAAACAGGCCCAACGCCTGCCTCTGGCACCATCAGCTTGCACAGTCCTACACAGGCCAGTTCATGCCTTCGTGCCTCAGTTTCCCCAGACAGAAAACTTTTCTCATTGCACCACACACAATGTTTTACACACCCTCCCCCCCATATCTCAGCCAAGACCTCCTCTTGGTTTTGTAACCCTAGCAACGACAGCAGTGAAAAGCCCTGCTTATCCAGGAGTCCTCACACCAAGCTTTCATGTTGGCATCTGCCAAGGCTTTTGGCCAGCACTTCAGATGGAACACGGGGACCTTTGGCCACAAAACTGATGGGGAATTGCACAGGAGCTGGCTCTCCTGAGGACCAGGCTGTCCCTGCAGCAGGCATAGCCCCAGCAGCAGCCCTCCCCTTCTGCCCCCCACCCAAGGACAGGGCGCCCCCCAAATCACAGCTGCTGCTTCCAACACCTCAGCAGAGCCCAGTTTTAGGACAAGACTGCCTGAGCCCTTTCTCTAGCTCAGATGCTTTAGCAACAACCATGGCCTGGGTCCCTCATGGTGCGGGTGGGAGGAGAAAGGGGTTTGAACTTGGCTTCTTCTCAGCACAGGTTGAGGGTCTCAGTGCAAGTACCAAAATCCATAGCCCCTTCCTTGTTCTTTCACGAAAGCATGTCGGCACTTACCGCAAAGGCATCTTGGGCTTCGCACATCCTGGCCACCGAGGTCTGAAACTCCCCGATGAAGTCGTGTCCCCCATCACTGTCGTAGTCGTAGCAAATCACCTAGGGCAGAGGAGCACAAACCAGCCTCAGACACAGTAACTATCTCCTGCAAGACCCACTGAAGTTCTCAACCTCTCCCCCTGGAGACCCCTCACAAGGGTTTTTGGGGTTTTGGGGGTGGTTCTGATTTGGTTTGTTTGGGTCAGTTTATGTTAATAAACCAGCCATGGAGTTTCAGATGTTTAATGATAGATCCCAGAGGCCAACCACCACGATACAAGCCCCAGAGGAACCTCCAGTTACCTTTATCAGCTTCTCTACATCTCCATCGCACAGTGACACCAAAGGCACAGTGAACGGCTTCCAGACGGGGTCCAGCGTGTACTTGATCACCTGCAAGGGGGGAACGGAGGGATGCCGTTACACCGGGCACATGTGGAAGGGGAGACTGGCACAAAGTGGGAGACACATCTCCAAAACACACCCTGGACCAGGGTCTCGGTGGGGCAGGCCAGGCAAGATGCAGAAAGCCACATCTCAGCCCCCTTCTGCTTCCTTAGTTTAAACACAGCAGCTCCCCCTGCTCAGGCTGCAGCGTGGCGAGTCACAACAGATGTGTTTGCATCACGTTGGGCGATTTAACCACCTCCAGGGGCAACTAAACCTGCTTGAGAAACAGCCACGGCAGACTGGCCACCACAGGCACGACCACTCACCACACCAGTTCAAGGCCAGCAGCTTTATTGATGCCCTCTGCATCCCCCTGATTTCACTCTACTCATCGCCCCCAAGCACCCCAGCACAGCCTACATCTATCTGGGGTCTGAGCGCCGAGAAGATGCAGCAGCGGGATGCCGCAGCAAGCCGGGAAAGCCAAACAGCCCTGGGCACGTCCAGCTCTCTCGCCTCATCTGCGTAACATCTGCTGCCCGAGCTGAAGAAATACTAATTGATGCTTTTTGACGTTTCCTGAGAGAATGCCATCGCTTGGTGGAACCCTCACAGCAAACGCTAGCAGGCTCCAGGCACACGCTGCGCACATCGGAGGTGGCTGTAGGGCAGGTGAAGGCCCCCTTTCACCAAGGTGTTGCATTCAAAAATTCACGTGGACGTTAGGGAGGTCAGACACGGGCAGCACATTAACCCTTCTCTGCGCAGGGTGAACACATGGAGGACCTTGGACCTTTGCATCCGGAGCAGCAACAGCGCAGCCCGGCGAGGGAGAGGTCCACGGCTGCCGCTGCAGGCAACCGGCCGCGCGGCACCTGGAACGGGCGTCTTGTTTTACCGACAGGCTCTTGCGCGAGACCGGGGGAAGCCCTGACACTGAGAGCACAGTTTAGTCGAGAATTTATAAACACCTCCTCCAGGAGGCTGGGAAGAGCAGGGGGGTGCCCACGCACCCTGAGATGGTGCCCACAGGCTGCCAGCCGCCGGGTCCCCAAGGGTGGGTGGGGAAGGATCCGGCATCTCCATCGCCCAGCTGGGCGTTCACACTTGTGCTTAAACAACCGGCAGTAGCGAGTGCACTAATCCTTCCCTGCCAGACGCCTCCGTGGTGGCATGAGAAATGCCAGCATCAGGCTGAGAGCTGGTTATATTCCTGCACCACAAGCTGCAAGAACGGGGAACCTTATTTCTTTGTATCTGGCCTCAAAACACAAAGATGGTCACCCAGTATGGGATCTTTCCGAGGGCAGCAGGACACATTCAGGGAGCACCCGTTACTTGGAAGAAAACCTGGCTAGACCGTTACCCAGAGAGACAGGACAGTGGAGGAACTGGGCAGCAACCCAGCAGAAAAATCGGTATATACATCTGCTCCCCATAAACCCGACCTGTCACAGAGATCCCAGCGACGGCTGGTGCACAGCCACGTTCCCAATTCCCACGCTTCTTCCCAGAGGAAGGGCTGGAGGTCACTCCAAAGCCCCACATTTGAGAAACACGTCTTGGTGAGTCAAAGCCCAGCTTCCCACACTAAACCGGGAGGAAACAACCAAACAAGGACCAAGCCTGCTCCCGGAGAAATACAAGAGAAATGTTAAGGTTGATAAGAATTAAACAGGCATGGAAACGTGTGTGGGAAAGCACTGAAAAATAAACAGCAGGGCTAGGGTTAAACAGACGCCCGTATTGGTACCCAGGACGCACGGTGCTACGCACATCCTGGTGCTCCTGCGCACGTGGGTGTGTGGTTGAGGGAAATCCTCATGGACTTTGCACAGCAGTGGGAAAAACCAGCTACAGAGAGACTTTGTAAATAAACCCCACCCTCTCCTTCCACATGAGTTCACACTGAGCTTTGTTATAGCCATTTGCTGCGGTGGGGCAATGGGCTCCTTGAGGGGACAAGAAAAAGATGGGGGTGAGATGGGCACAGGAAAAAGAAGGGTGGGAGACGACTTGTGGTGGGACTCTTCCTCCAACATAGGGGTTGCTGTGAGCCCTTTCTCCTCTTTCTGCCACCTGTCAGGGGCTACATGTGAAAACAAGCTTTGAGAAGGGGGAAAAAAGTCACTGAAAAGTACTTATTAGCCTGGTTTTAAAGCAGAAGGCAGCCTTCTGCCTCTCCCAGCAGACATGGGCGTGCTTCTCCCTGCCCGTGCTGTGCTTCTGATTTATAATATCACTGGCTTTAGCAGCTTCTCAACATAACCAGCTCAGGTCAAAATATCGCAGCAGGTATAAATGAGGGACAAGGAGGGGTCAGCTGCCCCTGACTGTACTCACCGGGACCCTGGTACAAGTCTCTGCCTTCCCACCCGGGGCTCCAGCTCAGTTAGACACAAGCCTGAGTGCTCATAAAGCTGGAAGTGCCTGAGCATCCTCCCAGGATAGCTGAGGACCTGGCAAATGCTCGTATTAATCCACTACCACCCCCCCGGGGCCACCTCTCCCACCATGTCCCCTGACCACAGCTCATCCCCCTGCTCCTGCATGTGAAGGGCGAGCAGTCCAGGGCACAGCCCACACCCAGGCTGAGCCAGGAGGTTAACACGGGCTGAAAGAGCATCTCCCTCTCTACATGATGGATGCAGTAGTGAGTAGTACAGAAAAGACCTCTAGACCTCACTGGCCTCAGTAAACCTTCATCTGCAGGAGTCCAGCAGCCTCAGCTGGAGACCGGGAAGGGCAGCTGTGAGGTTCTGAAATCCAGGGATCCCCCCTCACTTTATGGGTGGCTGATGAGACAGTGCCATAAAGGGCCAAAGGAGCTGGTGGTGTCTCAGCAGATCGGGTTAGCCGTGCTCACCTCCGTTCTGTGGACCAGCATCCACTTCCCATCATCACCTGGTTTATAAAACTCCAAGAAGGGGTCTGACTTCCCAAACAGGTCCTGGGGGAGAAGAACAGGGTGGGTTACATGGTGCTCTGCAAGCAGCTGGTTCAGCAAGACCCGGTCCAGGACAGACCTTCCTCCCCCCCAGTGCCAACCCTACAGACACCCTGGGACTGGCTCAGGGACACCGGCAAACAGGCAGCATCCCGCCACCCCTCCAAGTCCTGGTCACGCGAATCCCGTTGACGTTCGCACCGCGTTTCGGCATGGATGCAGTGGGTGACCCCGTGTCCCAGCACATGCCCGTGGGATTTGCCGGCAGGCACCCGCCACCCGGCGAGCCCTCTGGATGCAGATGCCACGGAAAACAACCCCAGCTGGGAGGCAGCTGCGTTTGGGCTTGGAAAAACATCCAAAGCTTCAAAGGAAAAAGAGAATTATGAAGTGCACGGGTGTCTTGGGGGAAAAATGAAAGAAAAACACCCTCCTACACACAGCAGTAAAGCATGAGCAGAGGAAATCTTTAAGGAGCAAGCTGCCCTGGTGTTGACAGAGATCATGTAACACCCTCCGAGATACGCAGCCCTGAGTCAGTGCGCGCTGCCTTCCCTGCCAGCGTCTCCTCAGATATTCCCCTGATAAAGGGCTGCTGGTTTATGAGAAATATGTACACATACACATGCGTCCCTGCTGGGTATCGTCACGGGGGCTATTTCGGAGCACCCCCAGCCCGGAGAGAAGGGCAGCGCTGGTAGCACCGACACAAGGAATCTCCAGCGTTTCTAAGCAGAACTTCATTCCCATTCAGAAAAACTTAAGTGTGGCCAACAAGAAACCAAGCCCCAGATATTTCAAATTATTTCCTGAGAGCTCAAGCCATTTCATCTGGGTTTCTCTCCCAGAGGCAGGTGGCTGCCCAAGTCCTGCAAAGAGCTGGAGGAACGTCTTAAAGGTTTGAACAGGAGCTTTTGGGGCTTCCAAGTGATGTGATGGGGATGCAGGGGGCTGCTCGTGGAAGAGGATGAAACATGGATGCTCCAGGAGCCCCTGTTCAGGAACCCAGGAGCTGGTGCTGGGATGGACATACGCTCTAGTGATCCCCCTGCAGAAAACTCATTAACATTTCTATCCAAATCTTGTTTCCAAAGCCAGCAAGAAAAGTAAATCACTGCAAAGGGGTTTTGGCTTGAAGAAACTACACCCTGCTTCAGTCAAACTTCTGCCAAAAGAGCAGACCACAAAGGTTCTGGTGAGATGGGGCTATTTTTCTCCTCCCTTTTTTTGCATGTTTGTGGGAGAGCAAACCAAGCCATTCTTTCCGCAGAGTTAAGATTATGGCACAGCTCTGTTCCTGCTGGACTGAAGAACCAGCGGTGGATACCTGACCCTGCCTATACCGGCTTAACCTACAACCCAATGCGGTTCCATCAGCACCAGCTCAGCGTGGGCTGGTGGAGGCACCGGCTCGGTGACAGCAGGGAGCTTTGAAGGGTGTCTGCTGCCATCCCAAGAGGAACAGCCTGGTTTGGACATCTGGTCAGCCTTGCTCCATCCAAAGCGGGGTGGGAGACGTCTCCAAGCCACAGGATCACAGGCTGATATTTTAAAACATCAAAACCACAAACATCTCACCCCTGCAAGGACAGCAGGAGAGGGAAACTGAGCAATCAAAGGAGCTCAGCAGACCAGATCAATATGCAAACTGGTCCAAGTGCCTAAACCATCCTGTGGTCCTCACACACCACAGACAAGGAGGGCGGAGGTGGCATTCCCACCGGAAGCAGCTCCCTGAACCACGGCTCCCAGCACCAGTCCTGGCCCGCAGCACTTGCTCTCCCGGCCGTGCCCAAGCATCATGCCCAGCTACTGCCCTCCTGCTGTCCCCACTGCTGCGGTGGCACACGCGGCTCCAGGGATGTGCTCACCAGGGCCGGTCCTGGATGAAAATACCTCCTCTTCTGCAAGCTATTCTTTCTTAAAATAACTCTGCCAAGAGCTGATCGGACATAAGGTGTCCCAGGTTGGGTCTGCTGCTGACGTGCTCCCGCAGTGGGGCTTTAGCACCTAACACAAGGTAGTGAACCGCAGGTGGAGAAACCACGGATGCGTGATGGGGAGGAGGACCTGCATGTGGCCTCGGGGTGATCATGGCATAAGGAGCTGCCTGGGGCCAAGCACAGCTCCAGGCTGGATTTGCTGCTCAGCTGTGGGTAAGGGATGCTCATGGCTTCAGCTCGGTGCACGCTGCAAAACCCCATGGCCCCACCATGACAACCCATGAGATCCAAACCCTTCCCATGATGTCCAAGCCTCTGGCCATGCTCCGTAGCTACGTGCTGCATGGTACAGGAGGGTGTTACCCCCAGCTGCAGCCTTATCCCTGTGTTTTCATAGAATCATAGAATGGTTTGGGTTGAAAGGAACCTTAAAGCCCATCTAGTTCCAACCCCCCTGCCATGGGCAGGGACACCTTCCACTAGACCAGGTTGCTCAAAGCCACATCCAGCCTGGCCTTGAAGACATCCAGGGATGGGGCATCCACAACATCTCTGGGCAACCTGTTCCAGTGCCTCACCACCCTCTCTGTGAAGAATTTCTTCCTGATATCTAATCTAAACCTCCCTGATTTCAATTTATACCCATTACCCCTTGTCCTATCACTACAGGCTCTTGTAAAAAGTCCTCTCCCAGTACCCTTGTAGGCCCCCTTCAGATATTGGAAAGCTGCAATGAGGTCTCCTCGGAGCCTCCTCTTCTCGGCTGCTTCTCCCCTGCCTTTCCTAAGCTTAAATGAGTTTTACCCAGCTCCCAAGGTTGCATTTCAACCGTGACCAATAACAGCCCAAAAATAGTGAGTTTTGTCCAATTTCCTTGTTCAGAGACCATTTTAATTTGCGTTCTGCTCTGAAGCTTTGCCCATGAGCAGGACTTTGAGCACTACAACGCTGCGCTGCATTATGGGACCCAGCAAAGAAACCTCATCAGCACTTGGTAACGGCAGGTGGTCACCGAGGCAAACCAGAGGAAGGAGCTTTCTGCTGACATCTACTGACAAGCTGGAGGGAGACCCAGAAAGAACAAGGTTATTCACAGTCCTCATCCCAGCGTAAGCAGGTAGACACTGAATTTCTGTACCTTGACTGCGGATCTGAAGGGCAGCAGACCCACACGTATCGTGTCCTAGTTGAAGAATATCAAAAGATGTGACTTCTGCCTAACCTGGTAGAGGAACCTGGTTGCAAACCAGGGTAGAAAAGCAACTCCTGGCTGTGATGCCACCAGTGAAGTTGCCAATACAAGTGCCTGAGGTAGCAGTGCTGCGGAGAGGACCCACCTCCTTGGCCCTGCTCTTCACAACAGCCACGGCTGCAAAATGACCATGAAGCAGGAAGGAAGGGCACCCACCCCACTGTGAAACCCCCCCCACCCCTTGCTCTGCAAGGGAGCAGAAGCTTTTTCTTGGGGCGCTGGAAGGAAGCTGTTGTGTTAGGGATGTCTTCAGTGACATGCATGGGGTTGAGCCTCAGCCACGTCTCAGAGGCAGCCACCAGCTCCAGGATGTCTTCCAGTGCCTTTAGGAAATGGAATTATTGGGAGATTCCTTAACAGGGGCATTTGGCTCCTTGCACTAGGCAGGCTAAGCAGGAGGGTGAGGAAACAGCCATTTTCAACAGGTGGGAAAAACGCTTGGATAAACCATGGTTTTATCGGTTTCGGACAAAGGGACGAGACAAACCAGGTCTTCTGCCCCAGCCAATACCCTTCTGCCTGGATGCTTGCTTCACCCTGGTTTGAAAACTGAGGGCCATCCTGCCAATAGCACAAGCTCTGGAGAGACTAGGGAGAAGGGAAGAATAATAGACCTATCGATTGCTTAGCAACAGCGCTGGTTTAAGAGGAATAGCTCTGGTTGCCTGGTAAATAAGGTCAGATGGCTTTGTTTGGAAAGGATCAGAGACTCCTACATATCACATCCAAGGGAAAACTCATGCATTACCTGTCTCCATCAGGTCAACACTTCCTCCTTGGAAAAGATAGGCCCTACTGTTTGGTAGACATGTTCACTCCATTTCCAGAGGGGCTGAAGGCGACAAGCCAGGAGCTCTCAGCACTTCCAAGATGTGGGTTTAAGGGGCACCAAAACTGCCAGCTCCGTTAGGATACATTCCCAAACAACACTGAAGGAGCGTATCTGGTGTCTTTGAGACATGCTAGCACACAGATCCTGCGCCACACGTAGTCTTTTCATCTCAACGCATGTGATGACGAAAGCAATTCCGTGACAACAGGGAAACTGAGGCACAGGCGTACCCAGCAGCCAGCAGCACTGCCAGGATTTGAACCCCTCCTCTCTCACCCTAATGCCTTCCCCAGCAAGACTATTTTCTGTCACTGCTATACCCAAAAGCAGAGAATTCTTTAGATCTCTTGGCCTACGAAGGACAGAAGTTTAACACTGCCTCCCCCAGACACAACCCCACTCACCTTTTTATCCAGTTTTCTGCCAGCCATGCTCAGAGTGATCACCCTGTTATCCGAGAGCTCTTGGGCAGCTATCTGAAAGACAAGGGAAAGCAGCACTCATTTTCAGCACGTCAAGTGGACACGGAGCCAAAAGCCAGAGGAGAATCCAGACCCCGAGGCCGTGCACTCTGGAGATCCTGCACAACTCCTCCAAAGCCGTTTCCCAGCTAAGGGATTGGATGGGCTAATATTTGCGATGCTTCACTATTGAGGAGTTAAACTAATTTTGCCTTTTCCAACCAATTTAGGACCAAAGTCTGCTTCCCAGCCCCTGCCTGGAATGAAGAAGGATGGAGGAAAAGCCTGAATTTCCCCTGGACGGGCAGTGCCATTTACCCTATGCTGAGGTAGCAACACACCGGCTTTAAAATAAAACAGGATACTTTTTTTAGCAGACTACCAGCTAAGCTGCTGGTGCTGCAGCCAGAGTCCCCAGGACACCCACTGACCTCCACAGCCTCCACTGACCTCGCTGGGGCTGGGTTCATGTGAAACACATCCATTTGCATGGCTGGGAGTGGACAGGTACCATTAAACCTCTCGAGCGACAACCTGAAGGGAGAATGAGCTACCAGGACTCCCCAGGCAGCCTCCTTTCTCCATGCCATCAGGTCTAAAATGATGCTTCTTGTAACAAACTTGTCCCCTTTCTTGGATCTCACATGGCTTTTCTGCACCAGGGCTCTTTCAGGACCTGGAGAAGCCTCCGAGGACCAAGCCAAGAGGAAGCAGGAGCCATAAAAAGCCTTGCCAGCATGATGTGTCACCTCATCCTCTATGTCCCAAGCTGGGCACAACAAAAAGCAGATGTCCCATCCCTTGGGAGAGATGCCGGTGGCATGAAGGACTCGAGCTCTGTTTCCGCATGATCACCTGACGAGACAGCCCCAAGGATGGAAACTCCACTATTGCTCCTGAGGAGCTAGAGCAGGCAGGAGTGCAGCCCGAATACTTCGGTTTAAGAGACTTTATTCCCATCTGCTCCAGGAGGGCTTGGCTGCCAACCACCAGTGGGCCGGTTTTGTCTGGAACGTGGTCTAATGAGTCTCTTGGTATTTTAAGAAAGGGAATGTTTATAACAAAAAAAACACATTTATTCACTTCTGTTACCAGCCATTTTCTGAATCACTTCTATTTTTTTTCCTCAAGGCTGTGTCCTGCCCAAGCATCTGCTCCCCACCTCTTCCTCCTGCACTCCCCAGGGTGGGTTGAGCCATCCCCCAGCACCCCCAGCCGCAGCATCCTCCCCAGGCAGGAGCCGGCATGGCCGGCAGCACGGCACGGCCATTTTCCTGGCGTGTGGTGCTCCCAGGCACGGCCGTTTGCTGGAGGAGGCTGTCCCTCACTGGAGATACGCAGGGTAATTACAGCGAGGCTTTTAGAAAAACTTGCAGAAATCAAAGGGACAATTTTCTGCGGAATGAGCAATCAGAGTGATTGGCACTTAGGAGAACGGGGAGTTTGCAGAGCCGAAGACACACAGATGCAGCTGTGGAATCCGCCTGGGCAGTCGGGCAAGGGACAAGCCACAGCACCCCAGAACCTCCCAGCCTTTCCAGGGAGGATGCTGCTCTTTGGTCGGATGCGTTCCACACATTCAAAGCCCAATGTTTCCCTGTCCCGGAGAGCCATGATGTCAGAAGTTCCCTATTGCTAAGCCACGGCATCGGTTTCCTCTCCCACCTAGTGCTCGGTGGGTGCTCATGGTCACCAACACCAGTGTGAGGAAGAGGAGCTGTAGGGGAGCAGATGCCCCTTGCTGATCCCCATAAAAGCACATCCAGTTGGTGTCCAGCATTTCAGAGCTCACTGGAGGCTATGTGAAAGCCAGACTGTGCAGACAAGCCAGGGACATCCTTGTGCCACACTGCTGCGGGCTGCTGGTGGCATCTTCTCTCGGCCAGCACAGACAATAGCAACATCCCCACCGCTGTGCCTGGCAGAGGCGTGCAGCAACATCTCGGGATTGGCATCTACACAGACAGTGGTTTGCTTTGGGATGGTCCCCATCTTTTCAAACCTAGGGACCCCCATGCGATCCCATCCATCCAGTCAAGGTTCTTCTGTTACATTCACCCCTCTGGCATCTCAGTTAAGAAAACGGATACTTGGGCAAAATCGAAGGGGATGGGGGTGACGCTTGGTTTGGCTCCAAACTTCCTGTTTTATACGAGTCCAAAGCAGAAGCCTTGGTTGGTGTCCACAGCCCGTGTTCCAGCGCCGTGCCAAGCAGTGAGGACAGGTGCCCACTGCACATAACCCCGTTGTCATCACCAAGCCAAGGGAGAAAAAAACTCCCAACAGATAAGAAAATTGCATCGATGGAACCAAATGAAGCAGATGACTCAGACCCTTTGGTGTTTAATGACACGTTAGTGACAGTCCATGACCTTTTTTAAAGCGTGTAACCATTGAGCTTGACTGGAAACTTTTCATCTGGTCCCG